TGTTGTTTTAGTGACTAGGTGATGTGTATGGCATAGAAACTGCATAACTGAGCTTTGATCAAACATTCAGGTACAGAAATGTTGGAACTTCTTCTGTATAATCTTACACAACTATATAACAAACCACCTATAAAATGAACTCCACTTCCAAAGTCAAACCGTTCTTCTGCATCAAGTTCTGCTTGGTTGTTGCTGATTTGAGATCATTACAAGTGTAATTGATCTGGATAATTCAAGGAGAGCTCTCTACGAGCCCCAAAGTACTAATAAGAGCCTGCGCTCAGACCCACTTTAGACGTCACCCCAAGGGGTTGAATTCATTTACAGTGTCAGGATATCTTATTTGCCGCTGTGCCTTCTATTGCCTTCAGTGCTCAACTGGATTAAACCATTAAGCCGTGGTGTGTTAAGTAGCTATTTCTGCAGTGGAATTCATGCGCTACCAAAAATTACCAGGCCCTTTAGTGGAGACGGGAAGCATTTTTCAGCTATGGATGTCTTTCCAGTCTGAATTCCTGCTGTTTTTGATGCTAAAAGTGAGAACTTGAAGGTCTGCCTGTGAGATCTGTCTTAAAACAGAACTTATGAGATCATTTGCAACAAAAATGCATAATAAGATGTTTTAGATTGCAAGACCTCTAAAAAATTACTAATGGGCCTATACATTATAAACATTTAATGTATTATAGAGATTTTTAAAGGAGAATAGTGCATTGTATCTTACTAAATTAAACTAAGTGCATTTCACTCAATTATTATTGAAAGCCCACTGCACTTAGTAGAAAAGAAGTTGTGAACTCAATAACTGATTATTAAGCAGAACTCAAGCTTTGCTTCTGACTAGGAGTTAAAGCTGCAGTTCGTACGTTTTGCCTCTTTGTCGCCCTCTCTGTTTGAAAACCTGGAATTGCAGTTACTTGCGGAATTATCTTCCTTGCATGGGTTGTGAGTCGGCATGGCTCTAGCGCGGATGAATCTAATGTTTTGAGGAGTATGTGTGGCAGTCAGTCACCGCACCGGTGTGAATCCTATACTTAGTAATCACAGATTCTAGCCTACGTCTTGGAATATGACCCAAATAAGAATTTTCACTGTATATTGTCATCTGAACAAGTAAGTAACAAGTCTGCCACGTTTGTTCTGACCAACTGAGGAAAAAAAAGTGAGAACTTGAAGGTCTGCCTGTGAGATCTGTCTTAAAACAGAACTTATGAGATCATTTGCAACAAAAATGCATAATAAGATGTTTTAGATTGCAAGACCTCTAAAAAGTTACTAATGGGCCTTCTATTGCCTTCAGTGCTCAACTGGATTAAACCATTAAGCCGTGGTGTGTTAAGTAGCTATTTCTGCAGTGGAATTCATGCGCTACCAAAAATTACCAGGCCCTTTAGTGGTGACGGGAAGCATTTTTCAGCTATGGATGTCTTTCCAGTCTGAATTCCTGCTGTTTTTGATGCTAAAAGTGAGAACTTGAAGGTCTGCCTGTGAGATCTGTCTTAAAACAGAACTTATGAGATCATTTGCAACAAAAATGCATAATAAGATGTTTTAGATTGCAAGACCTCTAAAAAATTACTAATGGGCCTATACATTATAAACATTTAATGTATTATAGAGATTTTTAAAGGAGAATAGTGCATTGTATCTTACTAAATTAAACTAAGTGCATTTCAATCAATTATTATTGAAAGCCCACTGCACTTCTGTGAGATCTGTCTTAAAACAGAACTTATGAGATCATTTGCAACAAAAATGCATAATAAGATGTTTTAGATTGCAAGACCTCTAAAAAATTACTAATGGGCCTATACATTATAAACATTTAATGTATTATAGAGATTTTTAAAGGAGAATAGTGCATTGTATCTTACTAAATTAAACTAAGTGCATTTCAATCAATTATTATTGAAAGCCCACTGCACTTAGTAGAAAAGAAGTTGTGAACTCAATAACTGATTATTAAGCAGAACTCAAGCTTTGCTTCTGACTAGGAGTTAAAGCTGCAGTTCGTACGTTTTGCCTCTTTGTCGCCCTCTCTGTTTGAAAACCTGGAATTGCAGTTACTTGCGGAATTATCTTCCTTGCATGGGTTGTGAGTCGGCATGGCTCTAGCGCGGATGAATCTAATGTTTTGAGGAGTATGTGTGGCAGTCAGTCACCGCACCGGTGTGAATCCTATACTTAGTAATCACAGATTCTAGCCTACCAAGTTACAGACTGCAGCTTTAAATATTAAAATTTATTTTTTATATAAAATATAAAAATGTTTGATTTGCATTAATGCTTGAGTTAATGTTTCTAATTTTATTTGTGAATAGAATTTATATTTAATAAATTATTTATATAATTATAGAGGTTATGTAATTATATTTATAATTTACCATTAAGAAACGTTCTTTTTTAGGAGTATTTGTTTTACTTTTTAATGCAATTGGTTTCCTCAAATTATTTGCATTAAGTCATTGGGTTTTACAATTTGAGGTTGTCTAGAAGCAAAATAAGATAGTAAAAGACAAAGACAAAGTCGACAAATTGACACAGGCTTTATTATTTTCAATCTAACTTGGTTGCTTTATGGTAACTTGTTCATTAGGTTTTATAGGGAATAGCCAACTGTGCTAATAGGAAACCAAGCTGGAACAAACACAAACAGCCATTATGGAGTGAGGTCACATTAAATAAAACGAACCAAAACTCAACCCAGATGAAGGCCTTGCTAATGGACCGTTGCGTGTAGAGATTCAGCCTCCACCCAAAGTCCTGGCTCATGCATCATTAGTACTGTTCAATTAATAATGCAGTCAATGCGACTATTAAACTCTCATTTGACTATAATTGCCTTGCGATCAATCTTGTACGAAAGACAATCGAATTCTCTGAGCTCTGATTGGATTGGATCTTCATAGAAGGGCATCAGTGCTGCAGTGTGGCTGTTGGTTGGTCAGCGCAAGTGGAGGATTTGTACTTACAGAGAGGGACACAGACAGATGCATTGGCATTAAACAATAGGTCTTGTCATTTAGACAAACAGGCTAATTTAGAATCCCTTTCACTTCCATTTTGGGAGAAGAATTGTGTAAAAATGAGACAACATCGTTCACGGTGGCGGAATGCTTTCAGATTCCTTTGGTATGCAACTGCTGACATAGTATCACTCTTAAAAATTATATTCTAATGAATATAATTACGTTCTATTTTTAACGGTTCATTTGGTTTTTAAATTTGTAATCATTTAACTGAACATTTTTAAAAGTAAAGGTTCTTTATTGGCATTGATGGTTCCATGAAGAACATTTCTTTTAACATCCATGGAACCTTTTCATTCCACAAAAGTTTCTTTATAGTGGAAAAAGGTTCTTTAGATTGTTAAAATGTTATTCACACTAAGTGATTGTTGATGTGACTGAAAGTCATTGATTTTTGCTGTTGTCAATGATGTTTTTCCTACATGCTGTAGGACAATTCAATATCAGCTCAATGTTGCTTAGAGAGGTGCTTTACTGAGTTACTTGTCAAAGTCTTAATCACTGCCTGTGGCATAATATTGAATTCAGAGGACAGTTGGAGAGATGGTTCATTGAAATGTTCTCATGGCAATATAAATACAATTTTTGGGATTTTTTGATTTGCTTTGTAAAGGTTTCCTCAAAAACTGTGGCTTAACTCAAAAAATAAATTCAGTGCAGTGAAAAGTCATGCTTTATTCATCACATTAAATTAAAATAAAAGTATATTATATAATTTTATAATATATCATTTATATAAGTAGGCAAATTATTAGTTATTATTACACATTACCTTTGTTAACAAGATGACAAAATATTTTCAAGAGAAATTTATAGAAGACAATTGAAATTGTTGTGAATATGGTGAAGTATGATTTTACACCTCAGTAGTATTCACCTATAGTTCAGGTAAATCTATTTAACTCTTTTTTTTTTTTTTTTCTGTGAAACAAAGCAAAACTAATGTTACACCGTGTCTACGGACGTGAGCGGCGCGGTGCAACAAATCCCCCACAGAAAACTGCTACCGGGTTCTATTTATGACGCAAATTTCAAATGGTTTTCAACGGTCGTTTGATCGCGTCCAGTGTAGGCAGACTTTAGCTGTTGTAGACACGGTGTTACTCACCTATTGAAAAGAAACAAAGCAACCTCGGCGTCCGATCGCAGGCCTCTGCTCCTTGAGTTCTCTCCAGCGCTGGAAAGCTGATCCGATATTTACACGGGTCCTACTTCTTGCCTTATCGTTCCGCAGACGTTTTCCTCTTTTGTTTTTTATCCGCCATCTCTATCTCTCTGTCGCTCGGCTCGGCTAATGTCCGTCCCATGCACTGAACGCGCTCTCCTCCACATCACGAGTAGACACGCCCCTTATTGCTGATTGGCTACAAGTTTGTTTTGCGATTCGGCCCGAATCAGTTTTTTAAAGTGTTTTTGAAAAATCACATACCCTGCCTTTAACTCCTATGATTTTAAGTTAATATTTTAGTAATCTAACAACATATTCATGTGTTTACGGTTCTCTGATGTCGTTAATGGTCACATGACATACAAGTAAACAAATAAAATATTTAATATTTTAAACAAGTGTTTTAAAGATATTAAAGAAGATATTTATATTGATTTCACGTTTTTGATTTAATTAATAGTTATTTTTTTATCAATTTAAATAGTGAGATTGATCAACTTTTGAGCAGTGTTCTTATACAATTTTCATTCTGCTTCAAAAGAAATATAATTACTTTTTGATATATATAATATTGTTATATATATATATATACTGTATATATAAGTAATGGGATATAATATTGTCAAATGCAGGCACTTGATGTTTTTGCAAATTGGGCCAGGCTGTAAATTTCTGATATATTTTTTTCTTCTTACGGATAAATAAAGTATCTTCGTATAATCTCTGATATATTTTTTTTCTTCTTGCGGATAAATAAAGTATCTGTTTACCTATCTGTCTGTCTGTCTGTCTATCTATCTCAGCAAGAGACGGCAAGCATCACCTCATACCTGCTCTATCAGGGGACTCTTTTCAAAAAGACTGACTGACATTAAGGTACTAGTACAAATATGTCAAGATAACCTGTCTTTTTTCAAAAACATGTCTTCTCTATTTTTCCCCCAGTGTACTGTTTATGTATTTCACATTAATATATGCTAGAAACTCCAGAGAGCCTCGTGTGGAGCAGCAGATAAACTGGGTCAAAAATGTTGACATGAAATGTGGAGATCAGAACTGGGGCTTTAAACTCCGGATCAAGATACAACCATCAAAGCTGAGGATCCTGCTTGTCCTTTTTCAGAAAAGGGCTCTTTAAAATAGGCGAAAAAAGACATGAGAACGAGATGATTTTGGGTTAGCGTTAACATTTTAAACTTTGATGAATATTAATGTGATGATTAGGCCTGCGTGTTTACATTATCCCATCAATCACATAGCAAATCTAATGAGTATAAAGATCAGCTGATTTTTAATAACTTAACAGAAATAACCTTGTGCTGACACTTAAGGGAAGGTTCACCAAAAATAACTATCTCCTTCATTTATGATTCCTTGTTGCTCTTTTTTTGGAGCTTTGGGAGTATAAATCATCATCCACTTGTTCCTCATATGGAAAATAAACTTTCTGTCTTCTCATTTTGAGTTGTATTAAAGAAATTAGTTCACCCAAAAATCTAACTTTTCTGAAAATGTACTCACTCTCAGGCCTTACAAGATGTAGATTAGTTTGCTTCTTCCTCAGAACAGATTTGGAGAAATGCAGCATTGCATCAGTTGCTCAGCAATGGATGCTCTGCAGTGAATGGGTGCCGTCAGAATGAGAGTCCAAACAGCTGATAAAAACATCACAATAATCCACAAGTAATCCACACCACTCTGCCATTTCTTCACCACTTCTGATGGCACCCATTCACTGCAGAGGATCAATTGGTGAGCAAGTGATATAATGCTACATTTCTCCAAATCTGTTCTAATGCAAATTATTTTGGGGTTGAACTGTTCCTTTTAGTAATAATCCTAAACATTGTGACACTGCTAGTTACACAGCATGCTTTGAAGCTTGGGTCATACCAAACTGAATTTGATCTAATTACTCACTAAAACTGCATAAAAAACAGGTTTATGAAGTGTTCCTAGTTGATTGTATATTTAGATTTCACTGTAGTGTTGCATCTTTGTGTACTGGATCTTGATCTGATTCTCTGCATATTCTTTCTTCTGTGAAACACAAAAGATAAAAAGCAAAAAGACATATTTCTCAAAATATCATCTTTTGTGTTCCACATTAAGGAAAAAACAACACCTGTTTACGTTAATGAGGGTAATTTTTGCGCAAACTGTTCCTTTAATTATCACTGTCCTCATATAAGCTTATATAAACTCTACCAGCTTCTGACTGAAAGTGTCAAACTTCACTTTGGTACTTCAAGAAATCATACATTGTCAAGAGATTCACCTAATCAGGACACAGCAAGACATCTGATTCAGAGGGGCAGGAAAAATTCAACCTTTTGAGGCATTGTCTGAATGTGCGTGAGTGGGAGCAGTTTAATCTGAGCTTCATAATAGCGTCAATGAATAAGTGATACTACAATCTAGAGAGGCTTATTCTCAAAGCATGATGCAGATATGGATAAAAAGGAGCTTAAAATGGAAAGAAGGGGTGTATGGCCAGCTCCTATTTTTTATTTTTTTGTCCCTCCATCCCTGGTGCTTTGAATCAACCTCAATTAGCCACGGCTTCCCGCAAACCTGTCGGCTGGTAGGTGTGATATTTTAATCAGATGCCCGTCCTGGACGAGGATGAGCCGACTGTTGCTTCAGACGCGGACTCAAAGGACTAGTGCAATTTTTGGGGATTCAAGCTGAGCGTTAACGATTCCCTGTGTCAGAATGCTCTACAGACGGCGGCTGAGATCCAGCCAGGTAATTTCCGCTTTAACCACTAGTCGGTTTGAGCAGATGGTGCTACAGCAGAGATTAATTTTTTTATGAGATTGAGGAGCAATATCTCCCCTGAGGCCTCAGTCACAACCGTGGAGCTTATTTGGTCTACTAGCACTTTAATCTTAACACATGCTCACCCTGAAACCAGTCCTAGGAACTTGTCATCACTTCAAACCGGCGAGCGATCAATTCTGGGCAGTTGAAAAAAAAAGAAACATCAAAATATACACCCACATGATTTCCTGAGAACGTCGTTACTGTGCCAAAGCATGTTTTCCTAGCCGTAATGACCTGGCATGAATTAGAATAAATAGCATTCTAGAGATTTAAATGAAAATACTTGCTTAATAATTCAGGATGATGGCCTAGATAGAAGTTTCATCCCCCATCTCTGAGGGAGATATTTGAGTAAAATGTATGCAAATTTGATGATGTCCTTATATATATACTTGGGCTTAATCACTTGATCTTTACCTACAGGGCAAGAGCGCTAAAATTCTGAATCTGAAAAAGAACACTAGTTTAGTCTGAATTCTATTTGGATGAACTGCATTCAAATGTCTTTGCTGTCACTTTTCATCAATTAAATATATTCTTGATGAATAAAAGAGTTAATTTCTTTAAAAAAAAATAATAAAGAAACTTTTGAATGGTCTATGCATTAATGGTAGGTGATGACAAGTGACTTCTGAGTGAGTCAGTGAATCATTCATTCAAGCAATTTATTTAAAACTATTAATCATTCAGTAACAAAACCAGTGACCCTCTATGAATGAGTCGTTGAATGGTTTATTCAAATTAATGATTTGTTCTACAACACTGATTCCTTCAGTAATGCAAATTGTTTGAATGACTGATTCATTGACTCATTCATAGCGATTGAGTCAGTGAATTAGTCATTCAAACAATTTGTTCCATAATGCTGATTTGTTCAGTAACAAAACAAGTAACAGTCGCTCTTAATGAGTCATTGATTCATTCATTCAAATGATTTGTTCTGCAATGCTGATTCATTCAGTTACAAAACAAGTAACTGGTGATATGAACGAGTCACTGATTCATCCATTCAGATGATTTATTCTAAAACGCTGATTCTATCAATAAAGAAACAAGTAACTGGCGCTATGAATGAGTCATTGAGTCATTCATTCAGATGAACAATTTGTTCTACAACGCTGATTCTTTCAGTAACGCAAACAAGTGACTGTCCTTATGAAAGCATCACTGAATCATTAATTCAGATGATTTGTTCTGTAATCCTGATTCATTCAGTTACAAAACAAGCAACTGGCGATATGAACGAGTCATTGAATCATCCATTCAGATGATTTATTCTAAAACATTGATTCACTGAATCATTTGAAACGCAGCAAAACTGCTGTATGTTGCTCTTGTTGCAACGGTTCTGTGTAAGAAAGTAGATCTACACATGAAGATCTGAGGCAATTAGTGTTAGGCTACTTATCTACATACTTGCTGTCCAATGTTTTATAAGAGTAATATCACACTTGCAAGGGCACTGATTACTGTATATGATTACCACAGAATATTCAAATAATCCTCTAAAGGCCATTACTTTGCAGTTAGATTATACATTTTTTATGATAACTAAAATGAGTAAAGCATGTGGCAGAAGCCAGAATAAATAAACTAATTTCTTTCTCTCTCTCTGTCTCTCTCTCACACACACACACACACATATACATGATGTCTTTCTCCTTGTCTATTGCTCTATGTATTCCTTATTCACCTGATGCTTTTATGTCTCAGCCTCTCATCTCGATCTTGACATTTACTGCTTTGCTTTCTCCATCTCTCTCGGCTGCCATCCTCTTCCTCTTCTCTCACAGCTGGTAAATATGTTGGAGGTGGCAGAGGTCTACTAAGCAGAGGTCAAGAGTGGATATTGCAGTTTTTCTCTCTGCAATACTGTGGAAAGCGAATGAAAAAGCAAGTCCTTCTGCTTGATTGCCTGAAAATGCCGGTCTGGTGTTTTCTTGTGTAGCGACTGGAGATCTGAGATTGAATGCAGGAGTTTTTGAAGTGCTTTTGAGGAGCACTCATACATTTTTGGAAGCAGTATTGTGGCGAATGTCTGTCTCAGATTTAGGCTTATTTGCAGGGATTTATTTAGCAAAAGAACAAACACTGTCATTATCTCAGTTAAAACTGTATTGAATTGTGCATCACACTATCATCTAATTTTCAACTACAGTAAGAAACGGCGTCACAATTTAGTAATTCTGCCTGAAATAAGAGACGTTAACTTACTAATTGAAATTTCTCAACATCGTCACTTGACTGCTAATTTAAGCATCATCACGTGACTGCAAATGACTGCTAATTTAATTTGGATAATGTTAAACTTACATCAGACTTACATTGACAACCGGATCATTTTCACTTAAAACAACATATTATATTTTCATAAATACTTTTTGAAACAGCAGTTAAGTCTCTTAATAGAACAACTAATAATACAAACTAAGGATACACTATCTAACCTTTTTGTTTTTTGATGTTCTTTTTTTCCCCATACAATTACAGTTTATAGTGACCAGGGGCTGTAATGCTTTAAAAAGCCATGCAACTGGTCTATAGGATCTATATAGGTCTATAGGTCTATACTCCAAGACTTCTGAATCTATACAACAGCTTTATGTGAAAAACAGACTGAAATTACGTTGTTTTTCCACTACTTTGTTACCTTAAATATTGTGTGTTCTATAGCTCTATGGAAAAGAAAAGCTTATACATTCTGCCTAATATCTCATTTTGTGTTTCATGGATGAAAGAGGTTCGGAATGACATTGGAGGACGTGATGGAAGAATTTTCATTTTTTCTGTATATTATTCCTTTAACTTGTCATTTCCAGCCTATTGATATTTGATGTTTTCATATTATGTTTCTCTTTCTTGCTGTCCATCACTTGTAATTTCAGCCATCTATCTCCAGCAAACCATAACTGACACACACACAAGCATGCCTGACAGTTGTGATCGCACGTCTGATGCTGACACTGACATACAGGAAGCACAGAGGAAACAGCAGCCAAGACTTCCTGTGGTTTTGTGCTGCTATCATTCACTGAATCGTCAGGCAGGAATGTGGGAAGCATCCAGACCCTGGTGGCTCTGCAGCACTATTCATGAGCAGATACGCAGGGAAATCCATCCAGCCGGTAAACACAGTTCAATCTGTAACGTGCTGCAGGGAGTAAAGAGTGTAAAGAGTCTGAGGTTAACCATATACTGCTTCCTCATGATTTATTTTAATTTTAAATTTTTTTACATTTTCATTTATCTTTTCATTTAAAAAAAAAAAAAAACCTGATGTTCCTTCACAACATCCAGTTTGGGAAACCTTGACATGTTTATTAATGCATTTAATGTTGTTACTAACAATGAATATATTTCCTTTCTCTTTATATTTTTGTACCAATGTACAAGATTATCCTATTTAAATCAATGTGATAAACGAGATGGGTCAAAAGTAATCTAAACGTTTTTAAAAAGTAGTCAGATTTTATTGCCTAAAATGTGTAATGTAATAAATCACGTTACTGACTACAATTTTTGTCATGTAATTTGGAATTAGTAACGGACTTGTAAGCAATCTACCTAGCACTGTTTACAGTTATCATTATCACTATAACTTTAACTCTTTATGGTTAGGTTGTATATACTGCAAGCATGTTAATACTTTAATAAATGCATATTAGCATGTGATTGTTCCATTGTTGTAAATTGTT